GTTGGTCCTTCCTAGCAAAGAAAAATGGCAATCTGTTTTCATGCGGTGGGTGCTCCGTTAGCCACACGACCTGTGTGTCTTTCATCAGGACTGAGCTTCTAGCTCATCTCTGAGGGGTTGAAACCCAACTTAAAACAAAACAAAGCCAGTGGCTCCTCTTTCTTTAAGTAGGTGTAATCTCCTATCTTTGGGGATAAGCAGAATCTATATAAAGGAGATGGAAGGTTCTTTGGTCACTACTTGAACCCAAGGTTCTCCTTTCTCGAATAGCGCCACATCTTTGTTAATTACAACCTAGACTATGAGTCTGTTAAAGTTAGAAGAGGTCATTTGCTTGAACAAAATCTCCTTGTTTTGTAGACAAGGACATTTTGACCCAGGAAGTTTAAATGTTTGCCAAAGTCATACAGCTAATGAATGACAGGCCTGGGAGCAGTTTTCTGAGCATGATATTTAGAATAAAAGGAGCTTGAGTTGATCATAATAACCTAGATCGAGGAAGGTTGTTTCAGTCAATACCAATGAAATTCATGGTGAAGTTTCACTGCAACTCTACAAACAGTACGCTTTAACACATGAAGAATGACGTTTGTTTTTTTTCAGACCTGCTCTTAATAACTAGGCATTGGAAGTAAGTTTTATAAAAGCTATAAATCTGGAATAGCCGGAAGGGTGTCCAACTTTCTTTTCTAATTGATTTGCTTTTTCTTTTTTCCAGACCTCCAAGGTAAAGCATATATAATTTATTTAAGGGATTCTGAAAACTAAAAAGGACCCCAGAAACTCGCTTTCTTTTCATTGCTTTTAACTGAAACCATCCAAGACGGTTGGTTGTTCATCAATTTTTTAAGTATCTCCAAAGAGGCAAAGTCCACAAGCCCTTGAAGTGCATGTTAAAATGGTTAATGGCTGTCAAAATTTATATCTATAGGAAGCTTAATGTCTCCTGTTTCACTTGAGGCTCTTTTCCTCTTGCAGTTTCACACAAAATGAGGTTATAACAAGCCACCCTCTGTGAGAGCTCCATCAATCTGCTAAGATAATAGCTGGTTCTCTCCCAATGTGCCACCTCCATTAAGCCACCATTTTTCTCATAGGACTATGAGCACACAAGACTGGTGGATACGCTCTCTTACTGTGATGCACGGGGAAGAATCAGTAATTAGCTCCTCATTGGAACTTTCATTTCAGAAAATGTCTGGGGAAGCTGCATTAATTATAGAGGAAGTGTTTCACTTATGCTGGAAAGATGTTCACAAAAAAACATCATCTGGATGGTTGCTTTCCACTGCGCTCCAGTGGAACTTGGGCTCATAGAGAAATACGAGTTCATTCACAACACTGGGTTAATCTATACAAAATTAGCATGACATACATTTTATTCAGTTGTGTTTCTAATGAGGTTTAAAAAAAGCTTTCCTTCTTAAACTTTCTGGCCCAACAAAAAAGATAGATATGGAGGCAATTTTCTTTTAGATGTTTGAATTTCAAACTAAGATAAAAAACTGCCTTCCACTATTAAAAAAACACAAACCCATACTTTCAAAATGGGATTTTAAGCTGCTTCAAATAAAAGGCATGGCCACAATAAAACTTTGAAAATAAGGGTAAAAATATAATAGTCAATTGACAGGGGATGGAGGTGGCAAAGACTACTTTGCTCTAGTAAGTATTTCAAAGACTGTAAATGCTTAGAGCTGACTTCTCCACACACAGTAAATCTCAAGGGACAAAAAGGAAACTCAATAAAATTTGTTGACAACAGTTAATGCCTGTAAGAATAATTGGCTCAGACACAAAACAGACCATCAGTGTAGCTTGGGCAATGACTCAAATGCAGCCGTAAGTTTGTTAGTATATATTGTATTCATTCAAAAAAAGAAGAAAAACAGTTTTATTAAATAGCTGCATAAATATGAGGTGAGAATTGTCCAAAGTACTTGACAAACCTAATTCTTGATGGTGTTGAAGACTAAGATCCTGAACAAGTAAATCCATTTCATTCAACTGGACTCAATTCAGTTCAATCCTGTCAATTCAACAATCAAATATGAGCCGCTACTATAGCAACCAGGCATTGAGGTAGGTGGTGGGATTTAATGGTAAATAAATACAGCACTTGGCATCAAGGAGTCCATTGAGAGGGTAAATCCTAGTTAGGTGATTTCAAAAGTGGAGTAAAATATTCAGGAAAAGCATAAATGACTATAATCTAATCTCCCATGATTGTTTTTCTCTTACGACACTTAATAATACTTATGTGCTTTTTTTTTTAACCTCCCAACTAACAACTAGACTGTGACTTCCTTGAAGACAAAGTTAATCTCTCATTCGTTTCTAGGCATCTCATTGATGACTGGTATAGTGTCTTGCCCAGAGCAGATGTTCCATCAGCGTTCTGAGTTAAAGAATTTAAAGGGGCTAACTTCTCTTAGGCAGACAGGATTGTCCAGTTGACTAGAAAGTTAACAGGAATACTTTTGTGCCTAAGAGTCTATGTCAAGGGAAAGGATTTACATAAGTCATGGAATTGTAGAAGACAAAACTTATGAAACTTATTGTCTCAATGACAGTGCTGACAATAATAACACACAATTTATAAAACACCTTCCTCTTCAAAGTCAAGAGTTGTCACAGACAACTGTATCCTTTTCAGTTTAAAAGCATTTGCTTAAATTTGATCATTGTAGTAACAGAATAAAAGGATCCCTTTAGTGCCTTGAAGTTGGTTTTCATCACAGTTGTCCAGTACTCTTAAGTGTTGGTATGAACATATATATGTACCATGTGGTTACTTGGGACCAAATCATTCTTTCCACTCTCACTTTTCATCATCTAATGCAAACCTTGTCGTCATGGAAGGATCCAGTTTCCATGCGCTGTGCATGGAAATCCTGGAGCATATCACGTTGAACAAGACAATTCAACCTGGCACATATCAGAAGACACTCGTGAGCTTGGCAATCACCTAGTGAACTGGATCAAAGGAAACTGCACAGATGGATTATCAAGGCAAAAAAATATCCTCTTGGACATAATAAGTGAGAACTACTTATTCATTTTTTAATGTGAACCAGTAGCAGCACAGTAAAGAGTAATGACAACCCATTGCTGAGTGATGTTGATGTGACACATTTGCCTTCCGTAAAACAAGTCCGCTGTTTGAAAAGCACCCACCTGAGGAACTCATTCATCTGCACTGCAAGCAAGAGCTGGACAGAATTGTTTTATTGCCAGAAAAATAGATGAATTAGCTCAATTAAAGTATTGGCTGGAAACTTTATTTGCCCATTCAAATAGCAGAAAGCACATCTCATTCTCTGTCACTAGTTTGAACACTACTTATTGCCAAATCTACGATCATCAGCCCTCCTTTTAGTCTCTTTCTTCCCAATCCCACACCCAACCCAGACACATATACATGGACCCCCTATCCCAGTGCCCTTCCCAACC